GTTACAGTACCCAATGGATGGTTTATAATGGAGAATCCTGTTGAAATGGATGAGTTGGGGGTACCCCCATTTCAGGAAACCTCCATATGTATATATATATACATGGTGTAAAATCACCATGATTAGGATGATACATATGCTATCGCCAATATACAGTATAATTATATTCATGTTCTGGCTTTATAAATAAATAGTGCCTTATTTGTCCTATAATTACAATGATAGATACGGTATATTAAAAACGTACGTGTCTATATTACAGTACCTATAGCGATGGTTACAGCGATTTCGATTATGAATTGACATCTTATATATAGATAGAGAGAGAGAGCTGGTTATCAACAGCTGCCAACATTTATGTAAATGCTTTTATGTAATAGGCATGTGTTTAAAAAAATAGCTGGTTATGTTTGGTCATACATTTTTAAATATATATATATGTATGAAGATATACATAATTATGTTTGATTATACATATATATATATTATATATATACTTATATATATATACTTATATACATATTGTGGTTCTAGTATTTTTGTTGATGATGATTGAATGGTGATTAGTGGTGACTACACACATATATATATACTGTATATTTATATATTGGTAGGACCAGTGGCTGCTAAACATCCCTACAAAAAGCGGTGCTCGGAGGGTGGCCGGGGAGGGTGGCAGGGAGGGCGGCGGGGTTCACCAATTATTGGTGCAACTTTGGGTGCGCAAGAAGTTCTCTCTCCTTAATTTTTTTGATGTTTGACGCCCGCACCAATATTTTGTCTACGATTTTCATGAGTTCTTTTCAGCCTCCGCACGGTTTGCCTGCCCGTTACTGTGTCTTGAATACTTTCCTTCAGAAATGCAAAATTTGCAAAATGAATTTGAAGCAGGAAAATCCGAGCATCAAGGAAATTCTTTGGTCCCGGAGAAGTCGTTGATAATTCTTAATGCGGTCCCCGCTTGGACAAAATTAAAGAAAACAACTTTACAGTGACGGGTTTTGATTATGCAATCAAAGATGTTGATTTGCCATGTCTGCCCGATTGCTGGTGAAATTTTCTTCGCATCACTGAGCCCCAAGTGCAACAACTTCAGCGTACTCTCTCCTTCTTCAAATTATTCGTGCCAAAACCTGTTTCCGGGAAACGGAGACACACGAAATAGTTTGGGTTCTAGATTTTTTTCCGTCAGCGGAATTGCTTAAAGGGTATTTATACTGTACAAGTGCGGCTAAAAAATGCAGGCAAGCAACTATATAAAGAATATAAGCTTCGGTGGTATCCCCAACAGCCGCAACGTTTTATTTCATTTTTATAAATCTTTCAGAAACGTGCTGCGAAACCAAGCGCTGGAAACCCTTTGAACCTGTTGGAACCTGACCTGGCCCTGCACCAAAGATTCCCCCAAAACCTTCTCCGGGACCCGTTGAACCCTGACTTGACTTTGCACCAAGGCTTCCCAAGAGCTTCTCCGGAACCTTCTCCGGAACCCTGTTGAACCTGACCTGGCTCTGCACCAAAGCCTCCCGGAACCTTCTCTGGAACCTTCTCCGGAACCCTGTTGAACCTGACCTGGCGCCTCCCAGACCTTCTCCGGAACCTTCTCCGGAACCTTGTTGAACCAGTTGAACCTGACTTGGCTTTGCACCCGATTTCCGGAACCCTGTTGAACCTGACCTGTCTCTGCACCAAATCCCAAACCTTCTCGGGAACCTTCGGAACCTTCTCCGGAAACTCGTTGAACCTGACCCGGTGCCTGCACCAGTGCACACCGGAGCTATTCTGGGCTGAAGACCCCGTCAGCTTCTGCTGTTGGGGAAAAACTGTGGACCTTTGCGCTGATCCATGTTGGATAAAATCTGTGGAAGTTCAAGATGCTCGGTCATGGAAAATCAATTGGGACGAGAATACAGAACATCGGTAAAAACAATGGAATAACCGATAAAACCATACACATGGAAAGCTCCGTAAAAAGCTCGAAATCAATGAAAGCCATCGAAAAATCGATGAAAACCATCGAGAAATTGCTGAAACCCAGTGAGAAATCTATGAAAACCATCAAGAAATCGAGCCAAACAAGGAAAAATCGAGTTTAACATGGAAAATTGGTCCGAGCCAGCTTGACTGCTTCCAAAAATGCGAGATCCGCACTGATCCGCGCTGATCCGCGCTGATCCGCGTTGATCCGCGCTGATCCGCGCTGATCCGCGCTGATCCGCGCTGATCCGTGCTGATCTAAAGCAAGAATACGCAAGAATTTAGCGCAGATCAGCGCGGATCAGCACGGATCAGCGCGGATCAGCGCGGATCAGCGCGGATCAGCGCGGATCAGCGCGGATCAGCGCGGATCAACGCGGATTAGCGCGGATCAGCGCGGGTCAGCGCCGATAAGCGCGGATCAGCGCGGATCAACGCGGCCCAGCGCGGATCAACGCGGCCGCGGCCCAGCGCGGCCCAGCATGGATCAGCGCGAATCAGGGCGGATCAGCGCGGATCAGCGCGGATCAGTGCGGATCAGCGCGGATCAGTGCGGCTCAGCGCGGATCAGCGCGGATCCGTGCGGATCAGCGCGGATCAGTGCAGATCAGCGCGGATCAGCGCGAATCAGCGCAGCTCAGTGCGGATCAGCGCGGAACAGCGTGGATCAGCGCGGCCCAGTGCGGCCCAGCGCTGATCCGCGCGGATCAGCGCGGAACAGCGCGGACCAGCGCGGACCAGCGTGGACCAGCGCGGAACAGCGCGGATCAGCGCGGATCAGCGGGCACTGAGCGGATCAGGGCCGATCAGCGCCGATCAGCGCGGATCAACACCCATCAGCGGGCATTAGTTCGGAGATCTTCTATAATAGAAGCCCATGGGTAAGTGAGATGTGAACATGGAATAGCACCAAGCATGGTCACTATCATTGTGTTTTTGATTTTTGTCAAGGAACAAAGTTTTTCCTTGACGCCCGTGGGTGCTACATCTCATGCGCCGTCGGCTTGATGTCTTGCTGCTCTCTGCCACCCGTCCTGCACCTCAAAATACCTCAAATCAATAGCTTTGATGCCCTCCTAATACCCTCTTCAGCCACCTGTCAGGCACCAAAAATCAATAGTTTTCATCCCCCCTCATCCCTCTCAGCCGCCCCTCGTGCACCACTAATAGCACTGATGCCTTGCCACCTTTTTCCGCCACCCTTCCTGCACCACAAATCAGTACCCTTAATGTCCTGCCACCCTGTTCCGCCACCCTTCCTGCACCACAAATCAGTACCCTTAATGTCCTGCCACCCTGTTCCGCCACCCTTCCTGCACCACAAATCAATAGCCTGAATGTCCTGCCACCCTGTTCCGCCACCCTTCCTGCACCACAAATCAGTAGCCTTAATGTCCTGCCACCCTGTTCCGCCACCCTTCCTGCACCACAAATCAATAGCCTTAATGTCCTGCCACCCTGTTCCGCCACCCTTCCTGCACCACAAATCAGTAGCCTTAATGTCCTGCCACCCTGTTCCGCCACCCTTCCTGCACCACAAATCATAGGTTTTGGTATCGGTTTGCTCTTCCAGATGTTTAGCAGGCAGTGGGTCTCTCAATTTATATATATATACTATATTTATAGACTACACATATGTATATATATTTTTTTTTAATGTATGTGTTGCTTATTAATGGCACTCGTCGTACGTATGTAAAATCATTATCACCAGTGCTCGCATATGCTTCCAAATCGTTTTCAATGGTGGTTAATACTGTTGGTATTCTGAATAATATTGTGGATAACTACAAACTGGACTACCATTCAAGTCACTGAAAAAATGGCAATATGTTCATGCTTAATATGCATGGTTACAGTTTATTGGTGTTAACCATTCATTAGCATGGGTAATACTGACCAAAACTGGTTTTCTTATTTGTTACCAAGGGTCATTAATGGTGATTAAGGTTTTCATGGCTGGTTTTTGGGATATGTTCGCCCACGGATTCGATATGGGAGTAAAAAATAAAGATTCAAGTAAGAGTGAAAGTATCAAGGCCACATACAAGTTCCCTAAGCCGCCAGTTCGTGATGGTTGTTCCATGTGTAGGGTTCTGGTTGGGTATGGGTCCAGCATTGCCCACTAGATCATTAGGATTTGTTTGTTACTCAAGACTTTTGTATTTCATCATGTTCCATCAAATAGGTCATAGATGAGTCATACACAACATTGTGACATTAGTTCGTTGGAGTTTTAATGGAGTTGCATGTTTTAGTTTTGAGATGGGACCAACAAATACCCGCTGAACCTGCAAAACATGTGGAATTGCTGAGAAGAAAACATCCTTTGACTCTCTATATTAATATGGGTTTGGCTGAAAGGCCGCTTAATACTTCATCCCTAAATGTTGGCGTGCGGATAACAAAAAAAATATCCAACCACCAAAACGATCTTTAAAAACAATGCTTGTTTTTGTCACCGTTTCCCATGAACATGTCAGGTCCAACTTACCTCAAGGTCAGGTATCTCATGGGGCTAAGCGGCCACTTATCTCAGCCCAGGCATGCACGGGGTGAACCTGAAGCCTGAGGAGATGCAGGAGATTGGATACAGCCCATATGGTCTTTCTGAAAAGATCCAATATTAAGTATGTGTTCAATATATTTCATAGGGGGAGGGATTAATTGCTAGTCAATGGCTAGGTTAAAAACAATCACCACTACAACCATTCAAGACCTATCATACCATAATCTGGAGGGATGAGCATCAATCGGTACCAGTTTCTTTTTCTCATTGTCCAATCAATGGGTTGACCGCAGCTTTTGGCGAAGAAAAGTAGCGCCACGGGCCAAACCCACTGCCTCAACGGTCGTATCACCGTTGCTGGGATCCCCAGTCATCCCCCGAAAAGATGGAAAGTAAATCCCCATTGAAAGAGTCAAACAAAATTGTTTTTTTCTATCTTTTTGTGTGTGGGGGGGTTTACTGTACCCTGTTGTATAATCATATGCTCAAGTAGTGGCCTTGTCGTGAGCATGTCCAACATTTGGAGATTCGCCCTAATACGAATGGGTTGCTCCACTTGGAAGATTTGGAAGAGGCTGTCAAGCATCGGATTTGAATAAACTTCCATGGTGCTCTACCACCCGAAAGCGGAGGTTGTCTCAGACTTCAGTTCTTGGTATGCAACAGTAGCCCCTATAGGGACAAGTACGAGACTTTCTCGAAATACACTGAAACGGGCAAGGCTGCAACAGTTGCACAGAGTCGCATTCTCTAGATGCCTGATTATATAATATTAAATATCTTCAATTATCTACATAGATTCCACAGAACTGCAAAAGACTCAATCAAGTTCTATTACTTGCAGCCACAAAAAACAATCTCTTTGATCCAGACTGGACCTGGCAAGGCTGGAATCGCAACGCCGTCCTTTTGTCCGACTGACTCAGATGGCGTTGCTTGACGCATGGATTTTCTTCATGGCTTGTGGAGATGCGTGTGCTACTCTTTGCACATGGATATATACGTGCACATGTATTTTGTGTAAATATACAGTATATTATATAAATATACAGTATATTCTATAAAAATCTCTATTTATATATATATATAAATGTATATATATATATTAAATATATATATAATTAAATATGTATGTATGTATATATATATATGTTTGTATTTCTAGATGTATGTAATTCTACTGTATGTGTTTATATATATATATACATTATGCATAATTATATGTACATATGCACATACACACATGCAGACGCTATATTGTTATACTTGTAGTTCCTTTGTGTTATTTTCATTTCTCTTTGTTGATTGTCGGGTCCTAGCTTGACCTGCAATGGCCCTCAAGGTCCTTCAACTCTGGCATTCAGGAGCTGCAGGGTGGATATCTAGGATTGGCCATGGTTGGGTCCCAAAAACATGTGAAGAATACATGGATTGAAGCGAAACCAGCGGTTCAATTTCCGATCCATACTCTTTTCATGTTTGAGCAGTTTGTCACCTCACAATCTTTCAACCAGTTTCAAAAAAGTCATTTCTAGATGTTACAGTTGCAGTTCCCTGTTATCATGTTTCAACCCATTTCAGGTTCCCTGCTTCTGTTCGTGAAACAGATTGCAGTGTACGTTTGCCAAAAATGCCTGATGGACTCGCGAGCAGAGCCAGTGAAAGCGGCAATCGTCAGCAAAGGTTGGGTTAGCCAAAATTTAAGTATTATATTTTAAATGTACATGATACAGATATGCATATATATATATAAACATAATCAAAGGACGCTTGAAGGTCTAACTCCCGCGTAACGGATTTTTAAAATCCACATCACCACTATCAAAATCACCAGTATCACAACCACTATCACAACAACCACCACTACCATAATCACCACTATCACAACCAAAACTATCGCACCACCGTCACCACTATCACAACCACTATCACAAGCACAACTATCACACCACCATCACCACTATCAAAACCGCCACTACCATAATCACCACTATCACAACCACCACTATCACACCACTATCACCACCATGACAACCACCGCTACCATAATCACCATTATCACAAGAACAAGAACAACAACAACTACTACTACTACTACTACTACTACCACTACCACTACCACTACCACTACCACTACTACTACTACCTACTACTACTACTACTACTCCTACTCCTACTCCTACTCCTACTCCTACTCCTACTCCTACTACTACTGCTACTACTGCTACTACTACTACTACTACGACTACGACTACGACTACCACTACCACTACCACTACCACTACCACTACCACTACCACTACCACTACCACTACCACTACCACTACCACTACTACCACCACCACCACCACCACCACTACTACTACTACTACTATTATCACGCCACTATCACAATCACCACTATCACATCACCACTATCACAACCACCACTACCATAATCACCACTATCACAACCACCACTATCAAAGAGATCTCATAGAAAGGAGGTCTCACAGCAAAGAGATCTCACAGCAAAGAGATCTCACAGCCAAGAGGTCTCACAGCCAAGAGATCTCACAGCAAAGCGATGTCACAGCCAAGAGATCTCACAGCCAAGACATCTCACAGCAAAGAGATCTCACAGCCAAGAGATCTCACAGCAAAGAGATCTCACAGCAAAGAGATCTCACAGCAAAGAAATCTCACAGCCAAGAGATCTCACAGCCAAGAGATCTCACAGCCAAGAGATCTCACAGCCAAGAGATCTCACAGCAAAGCGATCTCACAGCCAAGAGATCTCACAGCCAAGAGATCTCACAGCCAAGAGATCTCACAGCCAAGAGATCTCACAGCAAAGAGATCTCACAGAAAGCTTGTTGTCACATCTTGAGCTTTCAGTTTTTTAGGGAGGTCTCGCACGAAAGTTTCGTTTTCACATCTTCCACTTTCAGATTTTGAGTGAAGTCTCGCACAAAAGCTTCATTTTCACAACTTGGACTTTCACTTTCAGATTTTGAGGGAAGTCTCGAACGAAATGCGTAGTTCTATGGTGTTTTTGTAACTCAGTCCTATCAGATTGTGATGGCTGCGTCAAGGTTGCTTGGCGCCGCGGCTGCGTGCGGAATACTATTGTCTTTTGCAGCTGGACATTGTAAATCGCGTATTGGAGTGGCTGCATCAAGGTTGCGATGATGATTTGTCAGCAGATTTTCTCAATTTTGGCGCCCGCGATTTTCCTTTTATTTATTTTTTAAAAAATGCTTCAAAATTGTTTTTTTTGCTTTGGCGCCGAGGTCCGGTCTTGGAGCTGCAATTGCGCGCATTCTATTGTGTTTTGCAACTCAATCTCTGCAGATCGCACTGTAATGGCTGCGTCAAGGTTGCTTGGCGGAGCAGCTGCGTGCGTAAAACTATTGTTTTTTGCAGCTGGACATCAAAAATCGTATTGGAGTGGCTGCATCAAGGTTGCCATGATGATTTGTCAGCCGATTTTCTCAATTTTGGCACTGATGATTTCTTTTCAAATTCCTTTCGAATGTATTATTAATACATTTGTTTTTATATATTTACATATTACAATATATATATATATATACATAGGTGACGGTTAAACCCGACCATATCAACCCCCATGATATTTGCAGGGATATTTTTAGCTCACCCTCTTCAAACTCGGAGGAGTTCGAGCATTGCTTCAGCCCAAAGAGAAGAAACAAGAGTTCGTTTCCGTCCCTCGGCTGTACCACGGAGAATTGGCCAATCAAAAGGCTGCATGTCAGCAACCCACAGAAAAGGTATCAAATCATCATCTGATATAAATTTGGATACACAATTAAAAAACAAAGGTCCTAATGGTGGCAATGATTATGTGATATTCGTCAACATAATGGTCATGATAACAATTACTGTAATAAGAGTTTTACTTGACAGCAGCAAGCACAACAGTCAGAACTCAGAACAAAGAAAGATGATGGTTTACTTTTATTATTATTGTTATTAATGTTATTATTATTATTTTTATTATGTTTATTATTGTTATTTGCTATTATTATGAAATATTCATCAATTGCCCCTTAAGTCACCCCAGATCCAGAAGCCGCTGAGGGAGATGGCCAGCCCCAACTGCCGAGTTTCCAGGCTTCGAGTTGACATGGAATCAGAGGTTGACGGTTGAATTCTGGGTCTCAACTGATGCAACCTGATCCCATCCATGTCCACTTGCCATGTCCACTTGCTGGAAGTGTTTTTCATTTGATGATATTTGATGGATCTCTCCAGCCTCCCGTGCCCGTGCAGGGACGACGACTGTTCCACCTGCGCACCGAGTCCTGGATTTAGCTCAGGCGGAGACGTCGACGTCCAGTGGCGCCCAGATGGCGTTCTATGTCCTTTTCCAAAGGGATTGCGTTCTCAGTAGATTCTGTTATGTTCCATTAATCCATCCCTAGAGGATGAAACCATACCAGCATATACCAACATGCAGTGTCGACTTGAGAAACTCCTGACAGTGGTGGGTATATCCCCTATTCTTATGTTTGTGTTTTAATAGGAGCATGATGATAAAACATGAAATTTGGGGGAAGTTCATTCCATACAAACCCACTTGGGCAAGAAATCGCTCCAGAAATCGATCATCCATGGGGGAACCACTTTGCATCAAAACATCACTGACACTGCTGAAGATACAACACATTTGAGATTCTCAGATCGAAATGGAACTTGACTTGTTATCATGTTTTTTTCTATCAGCTTGTGGCCTAATTTCCCATTCATACCTTATATCTGCACCATTTGCGTGGTTTAAATTCCAGTGTTGAGATTGCACCCCTATCATCCCATCTGCCCATCGGCCAGGCTATCCTTCGCCCCTGCCATCCCTTCCCATCTCGAAGTTCGAAAGGCGACGGACTCGTGACCTGTTTGATCGGATAGGGTTGTGTAGCTGCCAATATCTCCCAGTAAAAAAACAAGATGCAGCCCACGCACCCGAATGCTCACACGAAACACATGGATATGCAGTCACGCAGAGCACTTTTCTGCAATAGTTCATTTGAACAGTCTTGTACATATTTACCCTGTTACCAGTCTGCAGTGTGGAGTGGAAAGTGTAGAGTGTGGAGTGTGGAGTGGAAAGTGTAGAGTGTGGAGTGTGGAGTGTGAAGTAAGGAGTGTGGAGTGTAAAGTGTGGAGTGGTCAGTGTAGAGTGTGTAAAGTGTAGAGTGTGGAGTGTAGAGTGTAGAGTGTAAAGTGTAGAGTGTAAAGTGTAGAGTGTGGAGTGTGGAGTGTACAGTGCGGAGTGTGGAGTGTAGAGTGTGGAGTGTGGAGTGTAGAGTGTGGAGTGTGGAGTGTCAAGTGTGGAGTGAAGAGTGAAAAATGTAAAGTGTAAAGTGTGGAGTGTAAAGTGTGGAGTGTAAAGTGTAGAGTGTAAAGTGATAGAGTGTGGAGTGTAAAGTGGGAAGTGTGGAGTGTGGAGTGTGGAGTGCAAAGTGTGGAGTGAGAAGTGTAAAATGTAAAGTGTGGAGTGAAGAGTGAAGA